GGCGTGCAGCAGCAGCAGCAGCAGCAGCAGCAGCAACAGGCTGGGCCTGGAGTCTCTGTGGCGAGCAGCACCTCAAGTGAGCAGCAGTTTAAAGTTAAAAACAATTAAAGTAAAATAATTTTGAATTAAATTAAATTTAATCTTCTTAAAACAATTTAAATAAAAATTTTGAATTAAATTAAATTTCTTTTTCCCTTTTCACGAAGCCGCCTTAGATTCAGGTGTACGTACACCCCGAGCACCGCGGCAGCAAGCAGCTCAACTTAATTCCATTTCTTTATTTATTCGTTTATTTTTGTTTATTTTTGTTTATTATTTGTTTATTACTTGTTTTATTTGTTTTTATTTGTTTTCATTTGTTTTATTGGATTTATTTGACTCATTTCCTCTTTTGCGTCTGGTTTATCCGCTGCTGTACAGACACCGTAACATTTGCTCGCAGCTTCGGGTGTCTGTACACCAGTGCATTTATTTCTCGCAATTTGCTGCTGACGGACAAATGCAATTTAATTCTAAATTTAATTTCTGTTCCCATTTATTTATTTATTTATTTATTTATTATTTGTTTATTTGTTTATTTTGCTTCTTGCTGCTCTCCAGGTGCTGCAGTTTGTTTTGGAGGTTCGACGGACCGGACCCAAAGCCCTCAGCCTGAGCGTAAACCCTAAACCCTAAACCCTAAACCCTAGGGGTCGAGGTTCCGCAGTCGCTAACCCCCTAGTTCAAGTTCTGCTTTGACCCCAAGCAGCTCTGTGTTCTCCAGCAGCAGCAACTGCAGCAGCAGCTGCAGCAACAGCAGCACCAGCAGCACCAGCACCAACAGCAGCAGCCCCAGCAGCAGCAATATCAGCACCAGCAGCACCAGTAGCAGTAGCAGTAGCAGTAGCAGCAGCAGCAGCAGCAGCAATTGTGTTGTTTGCTGCTTAGGCCCTGAAATGCACTCGGGCTTGGAGCCCTTTGCTGCAGCGCTCAGCTGTCGATACAGTCGAAGGCCCTTGCGACTTTGCTGTCATCTTGGAAGACTGCTTCCTGGTGCTCACTCTTGCTGCTGCTCCTCCTGCTGCTGCTGCTGTTGCTGCTGCTGCTGCTACTGTGTTGAGGCGTTGATGGGAGATCTGTTGATGCTGCTGCTGCTCGCGTTCCTGCTGCTGCTGCTGCTGCTGCTGTAGATCTATTATGTTGTTTTCTTCTTTCGCGGCGGTGCTGCTGCTAAAGTCGCTGCTGCTGCTGCTGCTGCTGCTGCTGCAGGTGTTGGAGTCTGCTGCTTCGGACAACGATGAGACAGAAGCAGCAGCAGCTTGCATTAGTCATTTGCTGCGGGTGTGGAGCTGCTCCTCCTCCTCCTCAGCAGCAGCAGCAGCAGCAGCAGATGGACCCCGCAGTTTGTTGCAGATTGCTGTGCAGCACTCAATAGGCCCGCTGCAGCAACTGCTGTCTGCTGCAGCAGTGACTTCGAACGGCGACACGGCAGCAGCAGCAGCA